AAAGAGTAAAATATAGCAGGTTAACACCATTCATATTTTAGAAAATATGTTACATATTAAGTAATTTTCTTTCACGGTATCATATAATGAGACAAACAAGTAGCAGACCTGCTGATAAACAACATGCCTATATAACAGTTACAGTGACACTTAGAGCCTCAAATCGCAAAGATCTAAGAGGAACTGCCTATGCTCCCATTAACTTGAAACACAAAGTTGACAAGTCCCAATGCCTAAAGTAGGGATGAACAAAAAAAAAGAACAAGTTGTAGGCCGGTGGAAAGTGACACGCCTATTCATAATAGTTGCAGTGCTACTCAGAGCTTTAAATCATAAAAATCTGAGGGCCACTGTGCCTGTCACCCTAAGATATAAGTTGACAAGTCCCATGTGCCTGTAAATTCACCCTAGCCCTTAAAAAATTGGAAAGCAGTAATGTTCATATTTGCAGTGGTAGAAACAAGAATAGTGGCAGTTCTCTGGTCAAAGTCAAAGTCAAAGATTATTTATTCCATAGGTAAAATAAATTTACACTTGAAAACGTCACATTTAAGCTACTGCTCGTTCACTACGCTGACCTCCCTGAGAAGAACGAGCAAGAAACTCTAGGGATTGCTCTTTTCAAATAAACTTAAATGCTATGGAATACACTTTGAATCAAATGTGTGTGGGTTCTGGAGCCATGTCGTCTTTCCATACATCTTTATCTAACACGTAGTCTTCAATTTTGTAATATGATTTTTCGATCAAAATATTTTTAATGTAGTTTTTAAACTTAGGAAATGATAAACTTAATATATGCTCCGGAATCTTATTGTAAAAACGTATACAGTTCCCCATAAAAGAGTTGTTTACCTTGGTTAAACGAAATCGTGGTACCATGAGTTTGGACTTGGCTCTAAGGTTAATATTATGGATATCTTCTTTCTTATTGAAATTATGTATATTTTTACGGGCATATAAAATATTTGAGTAAATGTACTGCGATGCCACAGTCATGATACCAGTCTCCTTAAACTTTTCTCTGAGAGATACCCGAGAGCCTAGACGGTACACAGAACGAATCGCTCGTTTTTGCAATACAAATATGGTTTGAATATCTGCCGCTTTACCCCACATGAGAATCCCGTAGGACATTATACTATGGAAGTAACTAAAGTAAACTAGTCTAGCAGTACTAACATCGGTAAGCTCACGTATTCTGCGGACTGCGTATGCAGCGGAGCTTAATCTGCTGGCCAGGGACGATATATGTGGAAACCACTGAAGTTTACTATCTAAGGTCACTCCCAAGAAGACTGCTTTATTAACAAGGTCTAACTTTTCTCCGTTTATTTCTATGCTTGGACTAGTCGATTTTACGTTAGGTAATTCAAATTTAACACATTTTGTCTTCTTGGCATTAAGCAATAAATTATTAGCATTAAACCAATAAACTACCTTAGAGAGGGCATCATTAATACGGTCATGGTTAATGTCATGTCTGTCTGTTTTAAAAATCAAGGATGTGTCATCAGCAAACAACACTATTTCGCAATGGTCCTTAACAAAGAATGGCAGATCATTAGTATAAATCAGAAATAAGAAAGGTCCAAGTATTGAGCCCTGCGGAACACCCATTTTTACTGGAGAACCCAAAGAAGTTACTCCATTTATGTCTACTTTCTGAATTCTACCGTTGAGATATGACGAGACAAGTTTCGACGCCTTGCCATTTACACCGTAATGTTCCAGCTTCCTAATAAGAGTATTATGATCAACGCAATCAAATGCCTTTGAGAGGTCACAGAAAACACCAATAGCGTTCTGGGACCTTTCCCAAGCATCAAAGATGTGTTTTAGTAACGCTACCCCCGCATCGCTAGTCGATCTACCACTAGTAAACCCGTATTGTTCACTATGAAAAATATGATTCCTACCGAAAAAGGACAGTAATTGAGTTAGCATAACCTTTTCGAATATTTTACTTAAAGCTGGTAAAATTGAAATGGGCCTATAGTTGCTAGGATCAACTTTCCTACCGCTTTTGAATAAGGGAATAACCTTGCTGTATTTCATTAAATCGGGAAAAACACCTTCGTCAACGCACCTATTGAAAGCTACAGCTAACTGTGGGGAAATGAGATTAATAACTGAGTCTATAACTTTAGTTGATATGCCCCAGAGATCTTCCGTTTTTTTAACATGTATTGACTTAAAAGCTTTTATGATGTCTTGTGGATTAACATGACGAAAATTAAATAAACTGCCACAAACGTTAACATTTTCCTTTAGGAGATCAATAGCAAGTGAAGGGGAGGAATTTAATGATTTTGTAGTGTTCACAGCAATTTCCGAAAAGAACGATTCAAAAGCTTGGGCTACTTTATCTTTAGATTTTATAAGTTTGCTGTCAAATTCTAAAACTATATCTCTATCGTGTAGTTTAACCCTGCCTGACTCTTTATTTATTATGCTCCAAGTAGTTTTAGATTTATTTATCGATTGTCTAATTTTGTCGCTGTGAAACTTAACCTTAGCAGCTACACAAACTTTTTTAAATATTTTCGAATAAATTCTAACATATTCTATAAAATTGGAATTATTATTATAAATTTTCATAGCATATAGCTCATACAAACGAGACCTACTCTTATGAATACCTACTGTTGCCCAGTCGTTGAATTTAGTCTCTCTATGGAAAGTTAATGTTTTCGATTTAAATATATTGTCAAATTCATTTTTAATTAAACCAAATATCGTGTTATATAAAGTATTTGGATCCTCCGGTATATGGGATAGGGAATTTACACTATTGTCGATATTATTTTGAAATCTAATTATTCGTTCTGTGGTAATCGGTCTGCAGAGAAATTGGTCTACCTTCTTGCTCATTTTACAATTAAAAGAAGCCAATTGGCCACTATGGTCGGATCTTAAGCAATTAATTATTGATTTAGACACTGCGTCTGTGTTACAAAAGATGTTATCAATACAAGTAGAAGAGGAGGCAGTAATGCGAGTTGGTTCTAAAAAAAGATTAATCAAGTTAAAACTTTGAAATAAATTAATGAGTCTTACAGAAGTAGAACAGTTTTTCAACAGGTTTACATTGAAATCTCCACATATTACTACGTTTTTTTTGGTTGGAAAAATCCGCTTTAAACTGTCTTCCATAATTAATTCAAACTCGTTAAAATTAGCAGAGGGGGGCCTGTATACACATAAGACGACAAACTGATCCAATTCCACACATGAAATCTCAATAGTTCGTTCAGTAGAAAGATTTGTGATATCCTTACGCTCTTTAAATTTTAAGTTACGCTTAATAATAATCATGGATCCGCCTCTACTTAAGCTCTTTCTTATGAACGAACTGACTATTACATAATTTTCTATATTGTTAATGGCTTCGTAATCTTTCAGCCAGTAAACTGTAACACAAAACACGTCAACGGAAATATCGTGCAAAAAAAGACTTATTTCTAATGTTTTGCCAGAAAAGCCTTGAATATTTTGATGTACTACATGGAAACGATTAGACTTTTCTGTTGTCGTGTTTTTCAGTTTAACTGGACAAACTATTTCACAGCCCTATTGCTATTAAATTGCTTGCCCTCATTTTAGTGTAAGCGGATGTAATTGTTCATATGTGCATCTAAGTCTTCTCATCCTCTGAGTCCAATGTTAAGATGTCTCCCAGGACAATGTACAAAAGCACCACACACTATAAAGAACTTTAATATACAGCAGGAATAGCATTTGAATGCTGACAAGGGTGAAAAATAACAAGTTCATTCATAAAACAGAATAGAGACTATAAATTCTGCCATGAAACAGATGAGGCACTCTGTACCTACTAAGCCAATGTCACCCTTTAATGCCATATGAAACTCCCTCTTTGGCAAACATATGGCCCAACCAGATGTAAACAATTGAAATTAAGAAAATCTTAAGTTTTTTAAATACTGAAATCATATAATTGTAATCATACACAATAGACCAATTGCTGAATGCAGTGATGTACCTTAAGTCTTGAGCCCTAATAATAATAATAAGTTATTATTAGGGTTCAATAAATAATAAAATTCAATATTATTATTTATTCATTTGTATGAGTGATGCATCAAAATTGTGTGAAATGTGTATTATTAAAATGAGCTAAAAACACATAGGGAAACATTCATAATCTTTTTCATTGCAGCCTGTATAAAAACATATGTAGGTAGATATTCAATATCTTATGTTTTATTTACACAATGCTCATATCATAACATGTGGTCATAGAAGAACAGGACAGAAATTACAAACATAAAGAATACATATAACAAAAAAAAATCTATTCCTTGTAATGCTGCAAATATTTAATAAAATTTACTAGCCCATTCTAGAATTGGACAACCACTATGTTATGTTAGAGCCAATGCAAACAATGTTGCATAATATTTATTTTACTAAACACCTCAATCACCTACAAACCATCATTACAAACACATTAGAAAATATTATTTGACTCTGTCTCAGTTCACAATTATAGTGATACATAGAACTAACTACCTACCTACATAAAAAATTACTTTACAACACCAAAGCCTAATTAGGCTTAGATGAAATAAAAGCAGTATTTGACGGTTTTATTGTGGGTTTTATTATCGTCAAATACTGCTACATTTAATATTACTGATAATTAGAATCGTGTAAGTATTCCACGATGTTTATTAGGGCAGAACAATAAAATGAAATCATTTCTAAATACTTACGTATTTCGCTAGATGTATCACGAACAGACATCCCAGTAAGGCAGGTAAAAACCGCTGCGAAGACCTTCGTTCCACAGCCATTATGACGCACTAACTTCACAATACTAGTCTGATAAGCACCTATTTTATCATATCATAATTACACACACCATAAAACGTTTATGTGGAATTTGTCATCCAAATTTTGCAAAAATTATTTACGGCCTACTCTCCTCCTCCATTCACAGAAATTGAATGACTGTTATTGAAAGGCGCACCAAAATGGCTGTTTTTTATATTGTTGCCATGAGAGAAAAATAATAACTAATAACAGAGTTAAATTATAAGTTTGAAAATAAGTTCAACTCTAGTGAGAAAGTTATTTTGTACACAAATTGCTAAGGAACACAGGAGTGAAATAAACTTTTAAAAATACGTATAATGTTCTCTCTTTCATTCATATTGTATGAGATAATAGCTAGAAATTTAATTTTATTTGACATCCGCGAGTAAAATCTGATTTTCGGGGTTGTTGGTTGTTGTTAATCTGTATTTCCACAGAATTTATCTTAAATTCGTCAGCCGTATGTGTCAGATATAACAATAAAGACGGTAATTAAATAATGGAGCACAGAAAAATACCTATCGTCAAAAAAAGAAACTGAGTTCGAAGAAAAAGAATCCTCAACTGATATCCTGTAAGGTTACTCCGGAATTTAACTACCGGGACTCACAAAGGCTGTGGCAGACTCTTGCAAACGAGTGCAACGCTATACCTGGTTCTAAAAAGACTTGGCGGCAGTGGCGAAAGGTTTATGTTTTTTTATTGATATATCTTAATTTACCTTTGTGTAGTTTTCTGGATCTGACTAGAATGGAACTGGTTTTTCCACAAGAAAAACACGGCTGCCTGGAAATAAGCAGACTCCAATGAAATGGAAGCCATAAGTGAACCGACTCCCCACCTGATTCAAAAGTTTTCACACAAAAAAAAATTAAAAACAATTCACAAACTAAGTACAAACACAGTTCAAAGCATTCAAATAACAGTGTTTTCAACTGTGATCTCTTAGCAGTACATGAAAGAAGAAAAGTAGAATTAAAAGAAGAGTACGTTTGAAATAAACTAATATTAACATAATCCGAGCATTTTTATTATTTGCAGAAGACATTTACAGTGTCAATTATATCCATAGATCTACCAACCATAGTGTATATATATATATAACATTCGTCCATCCCTACAATTTACAACATCTCCTCGATAAGCCGCCGAGGTCGCCTGATGGTGCGCTCATGGCGCTTTGATGCTTGCTGTAGGGACGCCGTGGTAGGTGGCGAATGCGTAGTAGCAGCGCATGGCCGCATTGGGGTGGTAGCTGAGTTCTGCGTTCCTGACGAACTTGCAAGGGGTTCCACCTCACTGGTGTTTATATGATGCGGGTCGTGTGTGGCCTGAGAGCCATCAGTAGAAACTGGACTGATATGGTCGGCTAAGCGGGAACGCACTTGATCAGCATGATATCTCCTTTCTACCCCATTGGCTGTGTCTACGGTGTACGAGTATCTATGCGTACGTCTGGATATGGTAGCAGGTTCCCATCGTGACCCATCCCGGGCTCGGACAAACACGCTGTCCCCCGATCTAAAACATGGTGTTAAATTTTCTGAATTTATATTAGCCTGTATCTGCCTATGCTGCAGGGCCTTTTTAGAGTTAGGGCGTGCGTTATCCAAAATACAATGCAGCTGACGTCCGAACATAAGTTGTCCTGGGCTCTTACCGGTGGTGGAATGAGGTGTTATGCGGTAGGAAAAAAGGAAATTTTCTAGTCGTCTTTTCAAGGTGAGATGGTCACTGGCACTTGATGATAGCCTGGATTTGAAAGTGCGAACCAGACGTTCAGCCAAACCGTTAGTCCGGGGATGGTACGGGGATGATTTTATGTGTAGAATACCCTTGTCTCTACAATAGTCTTGAAATTCCTGAGAAGTAAACTGTGGTCCATTGTCAGAAACCAAGAATTGAGGGAAGCCGAAGGTGGTGAAAATGGAATCTAACTCTTCACACAGTTTAGAAGTGGTTATCTGGTTCATGGGTTTAATTTCGACCCATTTCGAAAGCGCATCTGCTAAGACAAACCAATATTTTCCCTCGAACGGGCCTGCAAAATCAATGTGTAGCCTTTCCCACGGGTTGTCAGGAACGGACCACGAGTATATAGGCAATTCAGCGTTGTTCGGCCGATTCTCTTGGCATTTGCGACAACGTTTAATGTACTCCTCAATGTCATCGTCAATGGACGGCCACCATACGTAAAAACGTGCTAGCGCTCTCATTGCGGATATGCCTGGGTGTCCTGTATGCAGATATTCCAAGGTGGCCTTTCTCAGGGTGTTCGGTATTACTATTCGACCTTGCCACATTAATATCTTATTTTCAATGGACAACTCAGTGCGCTTCCGAGCATAGGGCTTTAAGTCATCTGAATAAAAATTTTCACGCCAGCCGGTCTTAATGTACTCTGATACCTGTTTAAGCAAAGGGTCCTTCCTTGTCGCGCCTCGTACACTGTCCTCTGTTAACGCAATATCCGAAACTCTTTCATGCTGCAACTGAGCTACCACTCTGTGTACTGTCAATTCTGCATTAGACGGTTTATCTTCTGGATTGGGCATCCTAGAAAGAAAATCAGCCATAAAATTTAGATGCCCTTTTGTAAAAACTATATCGTAGTCATACCCTCCAATGATTAAAGCCCAACGCACTAGACGGTTATTGACAATTTTCGGCAAGTTACGTTGTGGCCCCAAAACGTGAATCAATGGCTTATGATCAGTGCTAAGTATGAATTTGGTACCACGTAAATATTGATCAAACTTTTGGATTCCAAAAAATATTGCTAAAGCTTCTCGGTCAATAACTGAATATTTAGTTTCCGCTGGTCTTAGTTTCCTTGAAGCAAAAACGATAGGTTGAATTTTGTCTGCCGATTTATGATATAGGACGGCACCCACACCTTTTTCCGAGGCATCGCAGGCTAAATACAATGGGCGCTTTTCGTCAAAAGCAACAAGCGGTTTCGATTTACTAATAAGATCTTTTGCGTTCTTAAAACTCGTATTTTCTTTGACGGTCCATTGCCACTTCCGGCGACCACCAGTCAATGCATGCAGATCTGCGCAGACACTATGTAGGTGAGGAATAAATTTCTCGTAAAAATTTATAAGACCTAAGAACGACCGCAGTTCTTGGGCGTTAGTGGGCGGTGTCGCTTTCATTATTGCATCAATTTTCGATTTCGTCGGCCTAATTCCGTCTTTAGTAATTGTGTGCCCAAGGTATTCAATCTCTGTCTGGAAAAATGAACATTTCTTTAAATTGACTTTTAAGCCCGCCTTATCTAGTTTGCTAAACACGGTCGATAGTGTTTGGAGGTGTTCAATGTCATTTTTCCCTGTTAAGGCAATGTCGTCAAAATACACTGCGACATTTGGTACACCGTCCAAAAGTTCATCCAAGTAATGTTGGAAAATTGAAGGAGCTGTTGAGATTCCAAATGGCATCCTATTGTATTGATAATATCCTTTGTGCGTAGAGATTGTCAGGTACTGTTTCGACTCTGGAGCTATTTCAAATTGCAAGTACGCATCCCTTAAATCTATTTTCGAAAATTTGGCTCCATTTGCCAGATTTTGTCGTAGCTGGTCAAAGAGTGGGACTGGGTGAGAATGAGTGACAATAACAGGATTAATAGTGCTACGAAAATCACCGCAAATTCGGATTTGGCCATTTGTTTTTACGACATTCACTGTGGGTGTAGCCCATTCTAATGGCGTGACATTTGGATCAACTTTAGTCACGATTCCTTCGTCAACTAAACGTTGAAGTTCAATTTCTATGTTCTTACGCATGGAAAACTTAACTGGTCGAGCAGGGACATGTTTAGGTACTGCCCCAGGTTTTATATGAATGTTGACTTCATAATTTTTAACTTTTCCTAGTTTATTATCAAAAAGGGATGAAAAGGTTGAAAGTACCTGTTTAAGCGTAGTGGTGTGTTGAATGGGTTTAACCGAATAGACTGGCTCTGGGAATGTCATTTTATACATCTCGCTCCACTGGAGGCCAAAAAGCATTGGATTGGCGTCTTCCATAACCACAACAGGTAATATTTTCCGCTCTCCCATGATTTCAACGGTTACGTCGGTGAGACCTTTTGGTTTGAGCTTAAGGTTCCCATAAGCTCGTAGCTTCGGTGCCTTGGTTAGAGAGGGTTCTCCGATCCGCTTCCAGAAATTTGTGCTAATAATGGAGTACACGGATCCTGGGTCCCAATCGAATGTGCAACTGACACCGTTGACGGTTACATCAATTCTCTTGCTGTCCTTGTTTCTCTTGCGTTCAACCTTGAAGACATCATCACTTTCATCCGAACTCGTGTCAAAAGACTGTGATGAACTTCCATCATTGTGTGCATTGTACTTAATTTTATGCAGTTTGTTACTATAATTGGTTGGTTGTTTCTTTTCTGTCGCGGTGCTCGCTAAATATGCCCTACCAGACTTTATACAGCAACTTTCAAAATGACCTTGTATGTGGCATTCATCGCATGTATGGTCTTTTGCCTTGCAAACGTTTAGCCTATGTCTCTCTTGTGCACCACATCGACGGCACTGGTTTGGACTTAGTTTGCGTAGAAACGTACATTGTTTATAGTGACGTCCTGTACTTGTTCTTGCTTTTACTTTATTAGCGGTAGCGGGCATGCTACTATCAGCATCACCTTCTGCTAACTCTCTGGACTGAGCTACTGCAAAGAATTGATCGAAAGTAACCTCTACAAGTTTTCCGTCGTAAGTCTCTTGAAGGTCTGGCCATTTCTGTTTTAGGTCCACTTCTAGTTGAGGGTGATTTAAGCCGGTAGCAAATCGATCGCGCAATTGACGTTGAAACATTGTGTCCTTGTAGCCACAATCGCTGGCGAGTTTCTTTAGCCTGTTAGCATACTGTTCCATAGTCTCGTTGTGGTCTCGTACGCAACTCCAAAATTCAGTTAGTGCTTTATACCTCGTAACTTTAGTTCGATGTAAATCGAGTAGTTTAGACTTAATGTCATTGTAGGAACTGTTTCCAAAGTTAGGAACGAGTGCTATTTTTAGGTCGTGAAATATCTCAGGAGACATACATGAAAATAATAATTCTTTCCTTGTGTCATTATCACTTACGGCCCATATGTCACATTTGGCTTCGAAAAAATCTAAAAATTTTTCTACCGATACAGTCGCAGGGTTAAAAGTGTCGCATTTGAAACTTTTAATAATTGTGTACTTGTTGCTGCTTGCCGAGCTGGTAGGTTCCGTGCCAGGTGTTGCTGGCGTGGGGAGCTCCACTGCTGGTCGTTGCTGCAACACAAGTTGTTGCAAAATGTCCGAAATCTGTTGTTGCTGATTTTTTTGTAATTGTAGAAATTCTTGGAATTGTTCCTTATTCATTTTGTTTGGTTACTCCTCGTCGCCAATGAAATAAACTAATATTAACATAATCCAAGCATTTTTATTATTTTGCAGAAGACATTTACAGTGTCAATTATATCCATAGATCTACCAACCATAGTGTATATATATATATAACACTAAGGGCTGCTCGCTTTCTACTATCTTCCGCATGTGCCAACAGAATAGCATGAGCCATGACTTATATTCACAAATTACAAAGAATATTACTCAAAGAAGCAAAATAACAAATCAAAGAATAAAACTAAACAAAAAACCAAACAAATGTTAGGCGTCGTTATTTAAGCGCGCCTTAGTAAGACTGGCTTATCTATTTTACTTGGTCGGTTTATAGTGTTAATCACTAAGAAACCTTTAAAACACTAGTCGTTAGCAGTTGCTATCGGTCTCAAAATAAATTAATATTATTCACTCGGTGATGATCACTTTCATAAGCACTTGTGCTTACGGAATACGAAATAACGGTTATCGATACAAAATCAACTGTCAAAACGAGTTAAAGTGATGATCACTGAAGTTGACGTTTCGCAGTTGCTAACCATAGATAGAAATTACGAATATGCATTTTTGACACAAGGTAGTTGAGCACTTTATTCGGTGATT